GGTATATGATAGTATATATATATATATATGGTATGAAGCAACAACTTTTGTGCTTGGGTAGGTGGTTCATCTCATTCGCTCATTCAAATAGGGGAACCATATATATAGAGTGTATAGTAGGTATGATATATAGGTGATATATATGATAGTAGTAGTATAGTAAGCTCCTATGATGAGGATACTCATTAATCATATATATATAGAGAGAGAGAGAGATTAATGGGTATCCTTGTCATAGGAGGGGATTTCCTCCTTGACGCCTCTAAAATCACATAATTGAGCGACATTGTGGATGATCCGCTCCGTTGAACTTGATCTACATATTCTAAAACCCCAACACACCAAGTTTGGGGTGAATCCGTCGTCGTTTTGACCCTCCATCGAGTCATGTGAAAAGTTCTATTCATTCAAAACCGTTAAAAATTGATACGAGTGGATGAAGGGTCAAACAACGATGGGTTCACCCCAAACTTGGTGTGTTGGGGTTTTAGAATATGTAAATCAAGTTCAACGGAGCGGATCATCCATAATGTCGCTCAATTATGTGATTTTAGAGGCGCCAAGGAGGAAATCCCCTCTTATGACAAGGATACCCATTAATCTCATATGAGATTAATGGGTATCCTTGTCATAGGAGGGGATTTCCTCCTTGACGCCTCTAAAATCACATGATTGAGCGACATTATGGATGATCCGTTCCGTTGAACTTGATCTACATATTCTAAAACCCCAACACACCAAGTTTGGGGTGAACCCGTCGTCGTTTGACCCTCCATCGAGCCATGTGAAAAGCTCTATTCATTCAAAACCGTTAAAATTGATAATATATATATATATATATATATATATATATATATATATATATATATATATGTGTGTGTGCGTGCGCGTGCGTGCGTGTCCGTATATATATATATTCTATGTTCATTTTCTTTCCCGTCAAAACTTTCTACATTATTATAATTATTTTGCGATCTTACCCCCTATGTGGTCGTGCACGCCTGAGATCTGGTATAGAAGGGACCATACTGCTGAGGAGCATCTAGCCTTGTTTGATTGCTCGAGATCAGTGGATATCTCTTTAAGAAAGTCGTTCTCACATTTTCGCTGAGTCCTACAAAAGTTTTTCTTTAATTTTTTATTCAATAGAATTGCAATAATTCGTGAATTCTAGTCCTACATCTCTCTCAAGGATCAAGTCACTTTCTCAACATGATATATTATGTTATCATAGCCAAAATCCTAGCTCTGTTTCCCAACGAATAAGCACTCTCCATTGAACTCTGGACCTCTTCTTCGAATGCTTGCTAATTTCTATGCTTCACAGCCTTGATCTACCTTTAAATTGAGAATTTATTGTCACCCTTGTGACATAGTATTCTAATAATAATGTATAATCTCTACTGGTTTATATTATGGAAAGGGGATATTATTCGCCAAAGAGCAAGCAAATCCCTTTTGTATGTGAAAGATACTCTTCACTAGATCCCTGGACGAGGTTTGGTTACACCATTGTATATGCCATAAATATGTAAACCTATATTAACCAGAGGAAATATGTCCCAAACCTAACCTGATTCAAGTTGAACACGTCTTTTAACTATGAAAACCTTAACATCTTTTGGTTGTCAGATTTCCAAGTTGTCTGAGGTGTTGATCCTTTCTTATTTGAGAGTATGAGAGCAGTTAGTATTGTAGAGAAATTAGAGAACTTTATATAGTTCCACATTGGAAGATCATATAACTGTATTTTTTTTCTTTTTTTTTTCCGTATCAATAAAATCTAACTACATATCTGTAGGATCAAGTCACCTTTGTCAGCATAGCATGATATGTTATGTTTCCACATCCAAGATCCTAAACCCAACTCAGGTCCCTCTTTTAGATTGCTGGCTATTTCTATGCTTTATAGCCTTGATCGGACTTTAGATTGAGAATTTATCGAAACATTTCTAATTTAGTCTTCAAATTATTGTGTTTGAGATTTATTATTTTGTATGGTGGGCCGGCAAGTGTGATATATTCACCAAGGAGAAATCAAATCCCTCGTGTATGCGAGAAGTTCTTTTTGCTTGATAACATATGAGTTTCAGATAACTATCATATACGTCATACATATATGAACCAATGACAATTCATCTCAAAATTAACCATAATTGAGTTGGAACTCATCATTAATTTTGTAAAACTTAAGCAAATATGGAGCATGGCATTTTTAATCGGCACATGTTTTATTTGTATGAGATATACTTTAAGTGATTGTTTAGCCACATGTAGCTCGGTTTTTTCTATTTGATCTTAGTTCTTATTCTTTGCCTCTCATGTTTTGTTATTTTCAGGAAGATAAATGGATTTATGGGCTAATCTTAATAGAGATCTCTTACAGCTAATTGCTGAAAAGATAACTCGTCACACAGATGTTCTTCGCTTTGGTGCCACATGTAAACAATGGCGTTCTATTGTTACAAACAGCCTTCACTTTCTTCCTCCAAAACTCCCCATATCCTTATGTCTCCCAATTCAAAAACCCCTTCCATTGCTAATGCAGTGTCCTATTGAGGATAAATTGGGAAGCATCAATTTCCTTTCAGTTTCTGATATGAAAAGTTATGGTAAATTCCTTGTGCCAGAACTAAATAACAAGGTGATTGCTGGATCCTCTAATGGTTGGTTGCTCACAGTTGAGCTGAATAGTCAAGAAATTAAGCTCTTAAATCCTTTAACAAGGAATCAAATTCCCCTTCCATCCCTATCCACGCTTGAAAACCCTGAAGGTGAAGATTTTGGATTCATACTGAAAGCCATAATATCGTCCAATGCAAACAAGAGAAACTTGGGTGATGACTGCATTGTTATGGCAATCATCTCAGAATTGTCGATCCTATCTTTCTGTAGGCCAGGAGATGACAAGTGGACTTATGTGAATCAATATACGTTCAATCTCTATGATGTCATACCATACAAGGGTCAGTTCTATGCTATTAATGAAACTGGGACGACAGTTGCTTATGATGTCTCAAATGATGATGTTAAAATGAAACTCATTGCAAAGGGAGATTACAGTCCTAGGAGGAGATATTTAGTCGAATCAACATCAGGAGAGTTGCTTCATGTTGAAAGAGTTTTAGATGAACAGACTGAAACTTTTACTACGAACTTTATTGTATACAAGCTTGAATCTAGAGAAGGATTACTTGAATGTGAGCTCTGTTGGGTTGAGTCGGAGAGCTTAGGAGATCAAGCATTGTTCTTGGGACTCAATTGCTCGCTTTCATTGCCCGCACAATCTTTTCGAGGATGCAAAAGCAATTGCATTTACTTTACGGATGATATTGAGTATTTAGATTCTTCGTACGACATGGGTGTGTATGATTTAGAAGATAGAAAGATTCAAATGTTCGGGGACATGGACAAGTGTTTCTCTTTTCCACCGATTTGGATTTCTCCAAATCCTTGGTAGGGGCTCAATAATTCATTTTTGTATTACAGAACGTCTTTCCTTCGCTTGATTGATATTGCTTGATGTTTTCTGTCTCTGTTGAATAATATTAGCTGGAAAAAGTGTGAAATAATTCAGTGTGAATCTCCAAGTTTGTTTTTGTTTTTAAGTATATTGTTAATATTTGGAGGGTACTAGCACACGAGAAGTGTCATATTGAACAATTGTTTCGTATACATTCTCTTAAGTACTTTATATCATGACAGAGATTACATGCAAAGGCCACTATTTTAAATTACTGGATATGGATTTTATGCAAATAATAATAACATTAATAAATTATGATGCCATTTGTTGAACATTACCCTTTTTGAGCAGATGTAGAAGAGCAGACTCAGTTGTAAAATGCTGAGAATTATTTGGAGGCATGAGTAACGTTTTATGTTAGGTTAACAGCTTCTCGTTCTTACAGTACTGAGAAACGAGGAGGCGAAAATGCCCGGAAGGATGAAAGCAATTAATTCTCTTTCAAAAAACTCTGAGCAGAAGGGAAACATATATGCTTAGAAATTAGGATTTTTGACGTGAAATCGATAAATTTAAGAAAAATATTTTGGGTTTTATCAATATTGGTCCCTTACATCTTTCATATTCTTCCAAAATATTGAAATTGCTATTTGGTCTGCCATTTCGTAGGTTTCTTTGAAATTAACCCATCACATCATTGAAATTGCTATAAGATACCTCTATTCTCATAAAAATTAATCTTTCTAACTGTTATTCCTACTCTTAGTTAGAAAAGAGTGTAGTAATCAATATTTAGCTTGGATCACATGTGGACAAGGATTGAGCACTTTTCTAGCCAAAGAATCTTTTTGAGTACAAAGGAAAAAAATATTCCGTTTAAAATTAGGATTTTTTTGGTCTTATTGTCACCGTTCTATGTTAAAAAATACCGTATCATCGTCGGAATGAACAAAATGTATTAATTTTCTACTTTTGCCAAATAAAAAGTAATAGGTAAATTGCTTGTTTTTTGAGTTTTAATAGTTATCGTCAAGATAGTACTTTTTAAAATTAATAGGGTCTAGCCAAGTTGGTAAGCTGCATTTGAGTAGTACTCTAATGTCTCATGTTCCATTCTCCTAAAGATCTCCTAAAGAGCCCCCATATGAATTTAATTTTCTAAATTTTTTTAGAAATATATAGCCTTAATTATGGATATTTATAAAAATATCTTTTAAATCTTAATATTTGCAAAACTATACCTCAAATCATCAACTTTGTGAAAATGCCCCAAAAATCAACAAATCAACTTGGTTCTGAAAAATTAACTATTTTGTTATTACATTACAATTATAAATTAGTTTATCAAAGTTAATGATTAATTGATGCGAGGGTAATTATTTACAAAATTGATGATTTGAGGGTATATTTGCAAACACCAAGATGTAGAGGGTGTTTTTGTAAATAACTATACGTAAGGGGCATATATGCAAATAACCAAAAGTAAGGGGGCCGAGCTCTGATTCCTGTTCACTATAAGTTGACCGGAATCTTTCCCAAAACACGAAAGGCGAGCTCCACCCGATTGCACTTCAAAAGAATTAAGCTCATTCATGGCCTCATATGCTTCTGCTGCTTCTCTCACTTGCTCTCTCTCCCCTCCTCTCTTTAAAACCAAGATCTTTTTGTTCAACTCTCTTCCATTGAGAAGACCCAGATCCCAAATTGTTTCTCTGAGTGTTGGGTTTGATGATTTCCTTGACCTTACTCACAACAAGGTATTAATGAAATGAAATTAAATAAAAAAAAAACCTCAATTTTGGGTTTTAATGGAGAAAAAGTGAAGAATTTGACTTTTTTTTTTCCTCTATAGGTTTTAGCCGCAGCTGCAGTATCAGCTACAATTGGTCAGCTCTCAAAATTTTTTACATCTGCTATTAGAGGAGACGGGTTCAATCTCAAGTCATTCGTTCAGTCTGGGGGGATGCCCTCTACTCACTCCTCTGTATGATTTTTTTAGTGGGTCATTAACATTTTCCCTATTTCTTGTGATTCTAGGGTTCTTATGAATTAAAAATTGTATTTTGTTGTTTACTTTTGAGGTTTGCAGAGTGTTACGGCTGCTGCAACTTCCCTTGGTCTAGAAAGGTATATCGTTGTCTACTTTTGAGGTTTGCAGAGTGTTACGGCTGCTGCAACTTCCCTTGGTCTAGAAAGGTATATCGTTGTCCCTTTTCGTTGCGTTATTTGTTAGCTAATGTGAATCAGATTAATGTGGCGAGGGTTGTTTTTGGTATGCAGGGGTTTCTCAGATCCAATTTTTGGCATGTCTGTTGTTTTTGCTGTTCTTGTTATGTATGATGCACAGGTATGTTCGCCGAGATCAGATATTGGAGAACGTCTCTTTTGGTAACGTTGTCACAAACTTGTTCTGTTTTTCAATCTCTATTTTGCTCCTGTGTGATGTTCCTGTGTTGATAGAAAAATACGTAGAGAAGAGGCGATATCTCATGGGTAGTCATTGATTCTTGTAGATGCTTATTGCCATTTTTCTGGGTTTTACATGCTTTCTTTGAACTAGTTTTTGCGAGAATCATCGTGTCTGTCATGACTAAGGCATTGTTGTGGCTTGAAATTGGTGCGATTAAGACATGCAGTTCTACCTCACAACTTAAGGAAGCCCATTATTGCACCTTGTATGGTACTTTAGAATTTATTTTTAACCGGCAAGTTCCATAGTAAAAGGGAGTGCAATTATGTGTTTGTGTAGGTCAATTTGCATACTAAACTCAACCAAAATTTATGCAATTCTTGATTTTGAAGCTCATAGCGGCTTCTTATGGTATTTTGTATTAGAGAACAGCTATTATGCTTTCCTTATTTTTCTTCTCTAGTATCAGATGCTTTTGTATATTGTATTTCAGCATTTGATTTGGGTCAATGATAACCCTAAATTCAGATCTGCACAAATGAGGAATCCCGAGTGATCTCCTAAACAAGGAATACCATCTTACCCTGTTTTCTGATGGCAAAGAGACTAACGTAGGCATTGGAGAGGCGATGCTATGCAATAACACCTGACGACCTCCCTTTTTGTCTGTGTTTGTGCAGATCTGACGAAGCCCCATTTATTGCCTAGTCTTTCCAAATCAAAGTAATCTTATTTGTGTATGTCTGATGAAACCCGATTAGTTAGTGTGTCATCAATTATTTATATGGGGGCAGGATTCCATGTTTCCAAAATGATGGCAGCCTTGACATCCCTGTAGATTGTCTTAGCTGTACTTGCGTGTAGGTACTCCCTTGTAAATTATTCATCGCAGACTAGTTTAGTACTCATTTACAGGAAATAATTTATTAGATCAATAACCTTATTTATTTACTAAGGAAAACCATTTTTCATAATGTCCTTTATTACAATGCCTTAATGCCACTGATTAAAGTGTTCCGCAAAAGTAACGTACTTGCTTAGTGTGGAAGCTACTTTGCCTTTTAGCTATGAATATGTACACGGAATTGTTCCATTAGAGAGAGTTACTTTTGAGAAAAAATATTTTATCGGTTCATTCTCATTAGAAGCAAGTAGTTTGTATTTTTAATTTCTAGTTTGTTTTTAAATATCATAATGTTATTAGTATTATAATAGTTCAATCATTAACTAAGGTTGATTATTTCTTAATCTCTAACACTCTATTTATCAGAATTTATAAATGTTAGATTTGTTTTTAGGTTGTTATTAAACATAATTATATCTAGGAGTGTTAGGACATGCTATAACATTTGTAATATATGATGAAACCGACAATTAGTACAACTTGGTGCAAGTGTTAAGTAATTGCAATTAACATTCTGGTAGTTCTTTCAATATATACAATATTTTATATCTGCAAATACTAATTTTCCATTATAAACAAGATTTGTCAGATATGAAATAGATTATAAATTTATAGGCATAATGGGGAATGTAAGTTTGTAACTAGTTAATTTGGTCTATTATAATTTATTTTGTTTTTTTCAATACAACAAACATTACCATATTCTTCTGAACGCATTATAGATTTCATATCTCTTTAATATATGCTAATATTAATATATTTGATCTTATTTAATTAAGATTGTGAATATAATAGACTATTCTAAATAGATGGCAATTTTCATACTAGTATACATAAGAGTAGTATTTATCAATTTATTACTAAACAGCCAGTAGAAACATGTTTGAGGGATGACAAAAGCTTCAACTTGGTAAAGTAAGAATATTTATATATTTATTTTAAAAAATTAAATGACAAATACATTTAAAAAGATTGTTTGTTTGCTAGTTGATATAAAGCATTTACATCAAACTAATAAAAGAATTGATAGACAGCTTCTCATGCTATATTAATATTGAGACTTGATTATGACAGAAAAAAAAAACTTGATTACTGGATTTTTCATGAATTTGGGGTAAATTTGCGGAACAATAGTATTGAATATCGATAAAGTGGTTCAAGGTTCTAATCTTTCTCTTATGATTGCATCCTTGTGTAATCCTAATAGAATGCTAGAAACTCAAGTCACTCTACCAAAACTATTGTTTTCCCAGGATTTGCTCCGAGAGTTCATGAAAAGATCCAGCAACTAACTTATTTTTATTTGTCATGGACAAATCCACAATCAATATAACATTATTAAACAGTTTTACTAACTATTTGTTTGTCAGTCGCATGCTAAATATTTTGTTTTAACCATCAAATAAACAACACATATATAAATTTTAAATGTATTTGTCAGTTTCCTTTAAAAAAGTTGAAATTATTTACTTTTGCCAAGTTTATATAGTTTTCGGCGGTCAAGCATGATGCTTTTCCTGAATGTTTTGTCAGAGAAGAAATCATGTATAGTAATATGTTGTCTTAGTTTCGAAAGTCTATTGCCTCAGATAATTAGATAGGATGAAATATATGCATAGTAACATATTGATTAGTGATGACTTGAAATCCACAGCAATTCAAAAAATGGTATGATTTAGTGCACTGGAAAGTAACAAAACAAATTATATATAGCAAAATTATCTCATTTCGAGATTCACATTCACCTACTATGGTTGTTTATTTATAATCTTTTTCATATTCCACGCCTCTTTTCTAATGTAAAAATATTGTTAACTAAGGATTTATAATCATTGTATACATTGAAATCTATCAGGAGCCAGGAGTTGATTATTGCAATCAAGTATTCTTACTCTAGGAGATATATTAATTATTCATTTGATTGCATATTAAGATTGCATATCATTCTTACATGCAACTATTCTCCAACAACAATCTGAAAATAAAATGTTCCTGAATTCCATGAAATTGATATAAATTGGTAAACATTAAATAATAGTCAACCAAAATTTGTGACTAATATAACATAATGCTGATTATTATTGTCGTAATTAAGGTTGCAATGTTAAAACAACTTAGTAGAAATTAAATGATAAAATAATGGATTTGATGAGTATTGACTAATAAATAGTTTTTTCATAAGCAACCCTGACGAAATATGTTACGGCATACCTGTTCATGACTAAAGATAGCATGGTCTATAGGCTTTGGAGATATGTTAGTGCCACTCAACGCCTCTAATCAGTTGTCTAAAGAACACGGGACTAGTGAGCTTTTCTTCATAAATAAATTAGGTTATCCATTTAATAAATTGTTTAAACTAAGCTTCCATTAAACCGATGCATGAGGAATACTGTACTAGGAACAATTCACGATCTGTTGTAACTGCGGAAGAAGTACGATCTAAGGTAATCCACAGTGACCTCAGGGATTCCGCAATTTGGAGCACGACTCTTATGAGGCTGTTGTTAGCAATTTTTGGTTGGCGAAATTTCCAGATCACAAGTTTTATCCTGCCGGTAAATGTCAACGCGGAAATTCTGGCCACGTCAGCTGGAGTGTCTTTGATGGTCGTCTATCAGTTTAGGATGATTTGCTCTGTCTTGAACCCATTTAACATTGGGAGGGAAGATGTTTTGCCCTTTTTTAGCCGAACAATGCTCTCTCAAACCATGTGTCGTGTTGACAGCGCAGAGAGAGTCGAACCATGTGACCTGTTGCACTGCACACTAACTTGGGCAGTACCCAAGTAGCAGACAAGTTGCAATCTTAAGCCATGCACTGCACACTGCTCGAGCCCTGTGCACTTCTCTGCACTGATAGGGAGCTGCTTTAACTGGTTCAGTTGGTCAAACTATGTTCTCAATCCACACATTGTATTCTCTTGGTAACCCACACTTCTTACCAAATGGAGCTGCCTCTTTTCTGTCATCAGACTTTCTACCTTACACCATTGGGTAATGGTGTTTTGATCAATAGCAATTAAGTACAGTTTTATATTGGTCTCATGAGTTCATCCGGGAGTATGTTATTTGTTATTATATCTTTACCCCTTGAGTGGGATACGCAAGTGGTTGCAGTAACCCCATTTGCCATTGCTATTTGGTCACTGTTTTGCTAGCCATCATGATGCCTGTTTTGACTGAGATCCCTTTTTCACGTTTTGCAGCCTCCATCTGTTATCATTCCAGGTACTCCACATCATGAATCTGTTTCCTTTGACGTTCTACCTATGTATTTAGCTGTATGCTCCAGATGGCCCGTGCAACAACATTATTTATATTAAAAGTTGCAAGCCCCTGTTTGTTCTTCGTTTCTGCCATACGTTGCTCTCCAGTAGTTACCTCTCTGGTGAGTTCCTTCTCTGTGTTTGCCTATTGCCATCAGGCATCAAGCATCTCAACTATTTAGAGACCTAATTTTAAGGATTTGGCCGCACTACAAGTTGAATCAATTGAAAACTTGAGGACACAGAAAAGAGAAAATGAAAGAAGGAAAACTGAAAGAAGTGCAATGAAGAAATAATTCAGTTAAGTAAGCTAAACGGTTCGAATCATAGTTTAGAACTTCGCCATATATACCAATTTACATGTAGAAAACCATGATCAATTTGCCAACAGTTAATTTAGCCTTTTAGATAAATTGCATTCCTTTTCATGACAGATTCTTTGATATAGTTTCATCCATTATAGCCTGATCCTGATTTCTTGGGTTGCTTCATCTATCTGGAAGTTACTCATTTTCTCAGTGACTTTTTCCTATATGCTTCTGTTTCATGTCTCACCGCACTTTGCTTCTCATCCCAGAATTTGGTGTTCACTAACCAAGGCTGAATTATTTTAAGGTTTGATATCGATTTCATGTTTGTTGACAAGCTAAGATGAATTATCTGATGTCTGCATGAAGGATAGTCAGCTGTATATGGCTGGGTAATAACATTTTTTTGTAGAAGAAGGGTTTTGGCTATAAGAGGAATACTATATCAAGTAAAATTTTACATTTGGCAGGTACAAGCCCTTGAGCTTGTTCTTCCACATAAATGGAAAATATGTTGAAGTTTGTTCTTTGAAAAATTATCTTAAACAATTGAAGTTTTTCATTACTTGCCTTTTGCAGTAATTTTGATTATATTTTCTCATATTCCTTATATTTTCTCATTGTCTTCATAGATCTGCTCGATATTAAACATCTTCAATTCTTAGGTCTTATGCTATTGTTTATTTATTAGGGTGTTCGGAGAGAGGTAGGAATCCACGCGAAACTTCTGAACAAGATGCTAGAGGCTCAAGAGAAGGAGACTCTTTGTTTGAAAGAAGAAGCATTTGGTGATCCAAGCCCCAAAAAATCCTCCGTAAATTCTAAAGAAAACACTCCCGTCCTCTCTTATTCCGAGAAAAGGGATTCGTGTTCATCACAGTCAGAATCGTACTTGGTTTATGGTTCGAGGACAACATCCAGCAAGTTGGGAGATATATCAAGCTCTAAAATTGGTAGTAGAACGTTGAAAAAGGTGAGCAATTACTACAAGCCATTGAATGAATCAGTGGGTCATACGGAGGTTCAGGTTCTGGTTGGTGCAGTTCTGGGTTTCATTGTAAGTTTAGCCATTGATACAATTCTGTAATTTTATATGCAGTTTATACGCGATATATGTATAGCTTATCCCAAAAATTTAGGGTAGATGCTTTGTTGTTGTAATCTATTTGTATACATTTATTTATATTCAACATAAATACATTCAGCGTTCACAAAGTAATAGAATAGATTATACTAGTGTTATACCCATGCGATGTTGCGGGGATTTTTATTTTCATGTTATATTATAAAACAAAATCTAAAAAATAACTATTACTATCCAGAAAACTTGCAACAGTTGCTTTTTGCTGTGATTTTCTTTCACTAAATATGTTTTATTTAATTTTGTTAAACATATTATTATATACATAATAAGAACAACTTAAAAAGAACAAAAAGTTATCCAGATAACTTGCATTTAAAAAGTCCTAGAAAAATAGCTCCGTTCAACAATAATGATACAAAATACCCTAGAAATAACATCATTCAACAAATATCCCAACTACAATTAGTAAAGGATACACTTGTAAAAGAGCATAAATAAATCTGTGTCATGATTTCTCTACCAACCATATTTTTTCGTATATAAATAAATTAACAAATTATATTACAAAAAAACAAACAATAGATGCAGTCCCAGTTTTTTTCACTATCATCATACTTGCATCTCACAAATGCAAAATCCCCGACTCTTCCGTCCTTTTCTCAATGCATCATCAACATAAAAGTAATAAAAACCAATTAAATCTTTTTATCTGAAAAGAAAAGCAGCCATCCTTCTTGTTGTGCCTTCATAGGCAAAAGCAGCCATCTTTGAGAACAATCAATAAGCACTCATTTCAACAAATAAATATAATACAATTTTCACATAAGATATATCGCCACTTAGTCTCCCTATGATTACAAAATTAAAGTTAAGGAATATGAAATTATTATACCTAAACGGAAACCAAAGAAAATCTCTGTAGGAGATAAAATAAAAAGAAAAAGATCATAATTAAAAGTTAGAATGAAAAGAAGAAAAGGCTTGTACAATGGTACAAGAGGAAGGCTAAATCCCCCCACCCCACCCCACCCCAACCACCCACCCTGACCTTGGCAGCTCAAGGGAAGTTGCAATTAGATGTGAAAATGGGAATTATAAGAAGGTATTGTAAGAAGGGGATAAAAAATTAGCTTGATTTAGAAAAAAAGTGGAATTTTGAAGGATGGAATGAAAGCAAAATGTGGTAAGTCAATGAAAACATAGGAATGGAATGTGAAGAGGGATAACAAATCAATTAATGAGGTAGGGAGAGAGATTATGGTCATGGTTAATATATGGAGAGCTTTGCTACAGGGATCCAAAATATGAGACCAATAAGGGGGACAAGTGAGGTGTCCCCCTCCTATTGGATAATGAGTTGGTCATCATTAATGATGGCCAACTCATTATCCAATAAGAGGGAGACACCTCACTTGTCACCCCTATTGGTCCCATATTTTGGGTCCTTGAGGAATTTTTCATATATGGAAGGTTAGGATCCAATTGTTTAAAATTATACCACGTAGGAAGGTTAAGAGTCAATTGTTTAAAATTATACCACGTAGGAAGGTTAAGAGTCAATTGTCTAAAATTATGCCACGTGTCATCTAGGGGTTTTGTTCTAGTATATAGATAGTTGCAATTTGTTTACGTAAGGGTCATCTTGATGAGAACATAGTTACTATAGACAGTTTGATTCTAGGGAAAATTGTGTCGAGGCCGCAAAAGTAGGGACTCAATATGATCATGCCCCTTGTATTTTGGCTCATATGATTCAGCTCTAAAAAGTATCATTTAATATTTCAAGGTCCCTCCACGTCAGCAGTACAAAAAATAGATTATAGTTTGGAAAAAACCCGAAATTACCCCTCCACTTATTTTCCCCAGACGCTTGGTCCCTAAAAACATGGAAAGTCATGTCCATTAATGCGATCTAATGAAAAAATATAGGGAAATTTTCCGCCTTTTTTTAAACTCTATCATGAGCAATAACTCATGTTAGTTCTAACTTATTTTATATTAGTTCTAACTTATTTCATGTTAGTTCTAATTCATGTTAAAGCTAACTTTAAGTAGAACTAACATAAATACTTTAGGGTACTTGGTCTAGTGGTAAAACTTGAGAATTTGGAGAGGTGGTCAGGAGTTCTAACCCTTGCAGCTACAAATATATATTTGAAGGTCTTTGATTGGGCATTGGATCTTGGGCTCTTATGTTAGTTCTAACTCACTGCACGTTAGTTCTAAGCTCTTATGTTAGTTCTAACCCACGACATGTTAGTTCTAACTCACCTCACGTTAGTTCTAGTTTTACTTCATGTTAGTTCTAAGTTCTTATGTTAGTTCTAACCCACGACATGTTAGTTCTAACTCACCGCACATTAGTTCTAGTTCTAATTAATGTTAGTTCTAGGCTCTTATGTTAGTTCTAATCCACAACATGTTAGTTCTAAGCTCTTGGGCTCTTATGTTAGTTCTAACCCATGACATGTTAGTTCTAACCCACGGCATGTTAGTTCTAACTCACCGCTTGTTAGTTCTAGTTCTAATTCATGTTAGTTCTACGCTCTTGGGCTCTTATGTTAGTTCTAACCCACGACATGGTAGAACTAACATGATATCCATTACAACTAACACGAAATCCACTAGAACTAACACATATATTAAAACTAACATGATATCCATTAGAACTAACACGAAAATAATTTCTTCTTTTTTAAAGATAATAATATTATACATAGCATAAATTTTGACCGAGGAATTTACGCACCTAGGAATAATTGTTAGAACCAACGTCAATTTAACACCTCCTAAATTTTCCACATTTTCCATCCAAACATCTCCCATAATTTTTACATACAGACCAATAAACTAAAACCAAAAACATCCAAAACCCCCAAACCCCCAACTACTATCAGCCCTTGCTGTTCTTCTTTTTCAGTCTCGCCATTCTACTGCTTGCCTTTGTATTTCTATAAGGGTTTGAGTGGATTTCTCTGTGCTGCCAACCCCAGATGAACCATATTTGTCCTTCAGCTCACCGTGATGAACGACTTCGTAGTCGTTAACGGATTCTGCTTCCCTGAACGATATTTTTCCGACGAAAAACCTAGCACTGTTGAAATCCGACGAGAAAATTTAAAATTCGAGAGTTTCGGTGGCTCCTAAGTGGTGGAAGAGAGAGAGAGAGAGAGAGAGAGAGAGAGAGAGAGAGAGAGAGAGAGAGAGTACTTGAATAGGGAGGGGGCATAGTAACCGAGTTCAGTCCCATCTAAATGGTAAGTTCGTAACTTCCACTAGGCTTTTTTTGAAAACCAATACTTTGGGGTCTCGTCACAAATATTATGTGTATTTGGGGCTTATCCACATGGGGCAGAATACAAGGGGCCTCGTCACATGAAGTTTCCGCTTTTGGGGCCTGGACACATTTTTTCCTTGATTCTAAAGTGATTTCATAAATCATAAATCAAATAGATTATATGCAATTGACAATTAACGCTACATATTACTTTTCAGATTCAAATTCAATAAATTAAAAACAACAACAACAACATTAATTGATCAATAAATTAAAAACAACAACAACAACAATATTAATTGATGCTACGTACGTATCAAGTATGAGAATATGATGCATGTAAATGCATCACGAGATGCAGTATGAGAAATAATTTCATGTCAACGGCATCACGAGATGCATTAGAGAAATAGTTTCATGTCAACTAATAGAAAGTGGGGGTAAGTATCACGACAAGCCCCTTGAACTTTGGGAGGATTTGCACGAACCTTCTTGAACTTTTCTAAATGTTGAGGTTAAGTGATCACACAGTTGATTGTATCCGTGTTTGGATGAGGGTGAAATTGATGAGGGGCCGCTTCATTTCCTGACTTTATATATGATTCTGAGTGGTTGAAAAGTCTGCACAAGTAGAAACACATGAGAGGACGGGGATTGGTTCTCCCGTGGTTCCTCCTACGATCAAGTCAGCTGGTGAGCTTGAGTGGGGAAAGTGAAGAAATGTGAGAGTTCTTGTGTATATGTGTGCAGTAATTTGCAGATTAGAGAGTTTGGATCAGAATCCAATCTCTCCTATGTTAGAATAGTACATCTATTTATACTGATAGTATAAGAGTAGATTGGTCACTTTGGGATAGTTTGATATATAGGCAAGATGCCCGAGTTTTCCGACTACGTGTAGAATAAAATGTTGGCTGTAAGTTGTCTAATAGTCTTGGTTTAAGTATTTCTTTACAGGTTGACTGAATGAAATTAATATGCCTCATCGATCGTTCTTTATTGACTCTAGTATCTTATTTTTCTTGTAGGTGGCTGGAGAGGTAGCAAGGTGATATTCATCGAGAAAGTTAAGAGAAGCTTGCCAAACTAAATGCTCTTCAGATTGAATAGAACGGTAGTCCTCTAACCTCTTATGTAAAAAAGAGTTACCGTACTGGATAGTAACTCTGGGGATGAAAAAAAAGACCTTTATTTAGATGCTATATATTATGAATGCTTTAGTCAAAGATGTTTCATCATGTTATAACTGGTTTTATGTAATTGGGATTTACGAAGTTATGTGACTTTAACTACAATTATTTGTTATTAAGGTATGTAAGTGGATCTATGAAGTTACATTGAGCTTTCTATAATGTTGCATGGTATCTTCAGCTTTATTGATGAGCTTCTGATTATAGTGTGGTTGTAGGCATCGAAAATTGCCTATAGGTCTCCACGAACAGCTCAGTGTTAAGAAATGACGACGAACGTCACCATCTGGTTCACAGAAGCTTGATTTATGTCGGTGAACGCTTGAAGTAAACCGACGAACTACGTGAAACAACGGAACTTCGGAATGATGAAGATATGAACCGATCGGGAACCTCGTATCGTTCACAAACGGTGAAATACCCTTCGTGTCTTATTTATTCCGCAGATGATTTAATCATTGGAACTTGTAGAACTCCTCGTCAGCTTTCTAACGCACTTGGAATCACTCAAATCCGAGTTCGGACGAAGAATTTACGGCGGAAACAATCAAACAGGCATAACGAGCGTCTCAAGCTAAACTGAGACACCCGAGGTGTCTCGGCCAAGGCCGAGCGAGACAGCCAAGGGTGTCTCGGCCCTAGTTGAGACACCAGAGGGTG